TCTAAATAAATACAACTATTAAATATCTTAATTATAATATAATATATAAACATATTAATAAATTACTGAAATAATATTTTCATTTACTTAAAGTTGAAATACAAAAATGACTAAAACTTAAATAAAAATGAATTTAAAAAAATGGAAAAACTATTAAAACCCATAAAGCACAGCTAAAACCTGAACTAAAATTAATGGAAAAATGGAAAATATAAAAATAAAAACTAATTCAAAATATTAATTAAATATTTTAATTATAATATTAAATGTTAATAAATTACTGAAATAATATATATATATTTTTCAGTTTGTTGCCGAGGCAACGTTTCTAATTTTCATTTAGTTTAAGTTGAAGTACTAAAATGACTAAAATAATAGAAACTAAAACATTAAATTAATTATTTATTCATTAGAAAAATAAATATATTCATTAAATAAATTATTAATTAAATATTCAAATATTAATATGTACTATAAATAGTATATTAATGATACTAAAATAACACTGTATGAAGGTGAGTACATAATAATACATTTCAATTCTATTTTTGGAGGAAATATTGCTTTGAAAAGTTGTGCAAACCTTTGAAAAGTTGTCCTTCATGAATCTGTCCTCTCTTCGCTGCCTTGAGTTTCTGTTCAGACTGTAAACGCAGCTCTCTCGGGCTGCACTGAGCGATGGACTGGGATCCGTACGGCTCTCCTGCATGACCTTTGACATCTCGCTGACCTTTAGTGACCTTTTTACTCTCCACTGGACTCCTCCAGTTCTCCGACCCATGAAGGAACTCTGGGAGGAAGCAGATGATCGTCTGAGGATTCTTCACACTGTCTCAGCCACGCCGGGTACTTTAGCTCAGGAACGCTGGTCATCCCGGAAAAATACATCTCGGGTTTCTGGCTGGTCATCCAGCGCGGGAGATGATTGGATCTGGGCGTGTCGGGTGGATGCGTCCGATTGGCTGGCAGGATGTTGGGGGGAGGAGCTTGACCGTGTGACTGCAAACCGCCCATCATTATATCGTCCACAGAGAGGGATGTCCTGCTCACCGGTGGAACGGGACGCCGCATACAGTGTTTATGAGCCAGAACGGGCCGTAAGTGCGACCCGGAGCTACAGTTGAAGCTCAATCCCAACGGAAAGCTCCCAGAGCGGGAGAGGAGGGCCGAGGTGCGGGTCACGGGGAGAGAGCCGTCATTTGGGAGAGCCAGCAGGTCGTCAGTGGCCATACTGAGCCGATCCGAGTCTCTGTTCCGGACGGGAATGTTTAAGAAGATCAGCTCTTCATCCGTCAAACTCGTCTTCAGTACTGCACTTGTCAAAGCACATAAAAACACGGGACGTTATGCATGAGATCATGTCAATTTAGTGCTGCTGTTAAAACTATACAAATACAGTTCTGTTGATTGAAATAAAATAAAACATCTAAAAAAATTATCATCATTTATTAATAAAGAAATAGTGTTATTACAATAGTAATATTTCTTAAAAGACATAAAAAAACTAAAACAACAACAACACAACAAAATTACTAATACTTTAAATTAAAATAAAGAGGAAAATATTAATAAATAATAATAATACAGTGTTAATAAATAATAAATTAAATATTAATTATGCTAAACACTGTTAAACAGGGTTTTTATAGTTAACTAAAACCATAAAAAATATTTGTCCTTTACCTGAAATAAAAGTTAATTTTATTTTATATTTCTTATTTTATTTCAGCTAGTTGCCAAGGCAATATTTATTATTTTCATTTAGCTTTTTACTTCTTTTTTTTTTTTTAGTAATTATTTTGTTTGTACTATCAAAACTTAAATTGACAGAAGTAGAATCTATATTGTACTATATAGACATATTTACAAAAAGAATAAAACTGAAAACAAAATTACTAAAAGTTTAACTAAAATTAAAATGGAAAAAAAAAATTCTAAAAACAAAAATGATTTCAAAATATGAATTAAAACTATAATAGTATCTATTATTTTAACTAATATTCCAGATTAAATAGAGTTTCTCACAGCTGTCTGTGGTGATCGAGTTTATGCTGTACATAACCTAGTCCTAGAATATTCCTTAAAACATGAATTAATTTGCATTAATGTAACGAAATCCTTCTGATTTACCGTCTCTGTTTCTGGGATGAGGTTTGTTACTCTCTCTGGGCAGCTGAAGTTTCCCCGTCGTTGTGTCAGAGCCCCGCAGACTCCTCTGGAAGTCAGTGATGTACGCATCCAGCGCCTCTGAGGCAGAAGCGTAGTGTTTGTCCCTGTATTTGATGCTGGGGACGGGCTCCGGGTGTAAGGAGCTCTGCAGGAGTCCTGATGTGGCCAGCAGTGATGTGACGCTCGACTCAGGAGACATCAGACCGTCTTCAGACGCTCGACTCATAGCGCTCTGCAAAAACACATACACTTACATTAATATGTCATTAACACACATTATGCATTTTATAATCCGGGGTTCTCGCGCCTTTTGACCAATGAAAGCATGCATAATAGTTGCATGACATTTGTAATAATAAAAAAAATATTAAAAAAAAAAGAGTAATAATTTTAAAAAAATCAACAAATGAAAGCATGTATAATAGTTGCATGACATTTGTAATAATAACAAAAATATTAAAAAAAAAAGTAATAATTTAAAAAAAATCAACAAATGAAAGCATGTATAATAGTTGCATGACATTTGTAATAATAAAAAAAATATTTAAAAAAAAGAGTAATAATAAAAAAAAAATCAACAAATGAAAGCATGTATAATAGTTGCATGACATTTGTAATAATAACAAAAATATTAAAAAAAAAAGTAATAATTTAAAAAAAATCAACAAATGAAAGCATGTATAATAGTTGCATGACATTTGTAATAATAACAAAAATATTAAAAAAAAAAGTAATAATTTAAAAAAAATCAACAAATGAAAGCATGTATAATAGTTGCATGACATTTGTAATAATAACAAAAATATTAAAAAAAAAAGTAATAATTTAAAAAAAATCAACAAATGAAAGCATGTATAATAGTTGCATGACATTTGTAATAATAAAAAAAGTCAACAAATGAATGTTTAAAAGTTGCATGAAATTTCTAGTAATAAAAACAATGAAATAAAAATAGTAAGAATAAATAAATAAAAAATAAGCTTAATATAAATAAATAAATGTATTAAAACAAATTAAAAAATTGATTAAAATAAATAAAAAAATAACTAAATAAAACACCTACCAGTACAGTATTATAATTAATAGAATGTAAAGTAGTAAAAACTAAATATTTTCCAAATAATATTTTACATATATCTATAATATTAATTTCCGCAGTATAATTAGGTAGTTATACATAAAAATACATAGCTGTCTTTTAAATTTTAGAATGGGATGATAATATTTTGGGGTCTGTAGCATCTAAAAAATTGCATTAACTAATTATAACCAATATTTAATAGTTTAGTAAGATTATTAAAAGGTTTTTCAATTCTTTAACACCTTTAGGTTCATATGTTTGTCCAATGTATAAAATATATAATGTATAAAAGTTGCATCACATTTCTAGCTATGAAAATAGCAATAATACAAAAATAATTAAATAAAAAAAATAATAATTTTCAACCAATGAAAGTATGTGTAAAAGTTGCAGGACATTTCTATAACTATGAACTCGACGGCGAATGTTTTGAATCGGTTTTAACTCACTTTACTAACGTTACAGGTGAATTTACAGAACAGAAACTCACCTGATGAATCCAGCGCAGATCACGAACTGAAAGTTAAGTTAAATTAAAGTAAAGGTGATTAGAAGAATCCGTACAAACACACGTCTGCAAAACATCCAACACAAAACTGAAGTCACTCAGACAACCGCCAGCGGCTCTGCGCATGCGCACCGAGTCACGCGACCTTCTCTACATGTTCTATGCTCGCTAGCTGCTCCACTCAGACGAGCTCATGCGAACTGCGCATGCGCACCGGATCACATGACCTCAAAAGGTTCTACGCTCATTAGCTGCTCCACTCAAACTATATCAGCGAAATGGTCTGGATTTTGTAAACAACCCGAAATGATTGATTTATCTCCTACAGACTTTCAAAATCACGTTAAACATGTATATTTGACAGGAAAGCGGTGGTTAAAATTGATCTACGTTACAATAATTCAGGTGAATGTGGAGACTAATGAGTGAGGCTTCTGTCGAAACGAAACTAATGAGTGAGGAGTCTCGTGAACATCCACAGGTCAAAAATGAAGGAATAATGTTATAAAAGTTCATGACTCATGAGTGGGCGACGGCTCTTTCATTTCTCGCTAGAAATAAAATAAGATAAGATGGTAAACATCGCGAAACGACTCTCAATAAGGGCGTGCCGCAAATCGACCAGGTTCACTGGAACAGTAATAATTTATAATAATAGCTGTTTTAATTCTTTACTATGTATTTGCAATTTAAAAGTCATAAAAATGTATTATTCGAGTGTAATTTATTGATTCCGTTTACCGCGCTGTCACGTGATGCCCGTTACTTTTCTCAGCGCTGTCTGGTTACCCGCCTCTGGTTACAGCGTTAATATACGTCTTTTTTGTACAGAATGAAATAGCGTATTTTCTTTTGCATGGCATGTAATAATCTTTTGCATTCGTATTTTTAAATGATTATACTTTCCAGAGTATACATGCGTTCTAATAAGACGAAACCGATCGTGTGTTTTGAATGGGTTTCTATGGAGGATTGTCTGAGCGAGCCGTCGAGCGCCCCCTGCAGGAATATATCAGTGTTTTATTTCTCACACTGTGTGCTGCGGAGTTCCTGACTCATGTAAACACTCTCAGTCCAGTTCAGCTGCTGTGTCTTTGTCCTTCTCTGTCCGAACCGAACCGGATCATGCTGCTCCGCTCGTGCTGTGTTTACGGCGCAGGAATCCTCTGCGTTCTGCTGTTAATCGCCGGGATCGCGATGGCTTTGGCGCAGGTCTTCCAGAAGCTCATAAACAACAGAATAAAGGAGGTCAGCGAGTGTCTTCAAATGTGTTTTTCATATCATATTTATGTTGTGTTCATCATATGCTGTGACTGTCTATGTGTAGTTTGTCTATATGCAGCAGAGAGATATAATATATACAATTTTATTATATTATAATGTCTTAGTATATTGTATAATATTATTATATCTATTATTATTATTATTCTCCTCACATAATATTATGAACCCTTAATATACACCATTTTCATTTGCCATGGTATTTACATTATGGAATTGCCATGGTACATGTTCAAAATATTTTTTCTAGCATTATTATGAAATTTCATTTTATACAGTTTAAAGATTATACTATATAATGTTTTATATCAGTAACAAATATATATGTAAAATTGTAGTATGTATTATAATGTAATATAATTTATTATATTAGAATAACATATATAATATTATATAAATGAAACATTATTATTATTATTATTTTCAACTCATATAATATTACCATCATGATACCATGATTGTAATATTATGAAACATTAATGTACACCATAATCATTTACCATTTGTATTTTTTAGAGCATTTTATTTACGCTCTATTTATGGGAATGCCATGGTACATGTTCAAAATAATTTTTAAATATTTTCTAGCCTCATTTTGAAATTTCTTTTTATACAGTTTAGATTACAGATTAAATGTTATTATGCTTTATTATAATCAAACATATATGTAGTATTATAGTATGTATTATAACATATGTTTTACTGTATTATCATATTATATAATAATATTACATAAATCAAGCATTATTAGTAATAGTAGTATTTTCAATTCACATAATATTAGCATAATGATATCACAATTCTAATATTATGAAATGGTAATATACTCTATATTCATTCACCATGATATTTACATTCTGTTTGTGGAAATGCTATGGTATATGTTCAAAATATGGTATTTTTATTATAACCAGCCTTAATATTATGAAATTTCATTTTATACAGTTGACTGAGTTTAGATTAAAGATTGTTTAAAAGAATATTGACACAATTAAACCGCTTTATGTATACTAATATGATATGAATTAATATCATATTCATATGCCATATGCTTCTTCAAGGAGAGAAATTATTTAATGATACCATGTCCAGAAAACACTTTTTTTTTAAAATTGTTATTGTTATTATTTTTATTATTGTTATTGTCATTTGCACAGATTTTTTATAAATGTACACTTGATATGAAATATAAATATATGAAATTATGAAGTTTATGTGTTTTTTTATGTGTTTCTCTTCCTAAATTGTTGTAGAAACCATGAGTTTGTAAATATAACTTTGGTCATTTCTATCCACAATTCACTTTCCCTTACAGCAAGTAGTTCTGGAAAATGGAACGGAGGCATTTTCGGTGTGGCGAAACCCACCGCCGCCGGTTTACATGCAGTTTTACTTCTTTAATCTGACCAATCCTGCAGAGGTTCTGGAAGGAGACAAACCCTTCGTCCAGCAGATCGGCCCGTACACGTACAGGTCAGTGATGCCGCTAAAAACATGCTCGTAATGTTTTCCTCTCGATGTGTGACGGACGGGAAAGCAATTCACATGACTGTGTTTTTGCTGAAGCTTTCTCTTGATGACGCATCAGATGCTCTTGTGTTCCTGAAAACCATGGAACACTTTAGGGCTTCTGTATTTGTTTTTCTGAAGCCACAAAGGAAACCCTTGAAACCACAGCAATCTGTCTAAGAGACTTAAAACTGCTTAGAACTTAAAACGGCTTTAAACTTCAAGTTTTAAAAATTAAAACGGCTTTCAAAACGCTTTTAAAAATGCTTTCAAACTTAAAACTGCTTTTAAAAACTGCTTCAAACTTAAAACTGTTTCAAACTTCAAGCTTTTAAAACTTAAAACTGCTTTTACAACTGCTTTAAACTTAAAACTGCTTTCAAAAACTGCTTCAGACTTAAAACTACATTAAACTTTAAGCTTTTAAAACGTAAAACTTTTTTTTAAAACTGCTTTAAACTTAAAACTGCTTTTAAAAACTGCTTCAAACTTAAAACTGCTTTCGAAATGGTTTCAAACTTAAAACTGCTTTTAAAACTTCTTCAACCTTAAAATTGCTTTTAAAACTGCTTCAAACTTTAATCCACTTTTAAAACTGTTTCAAACTTAAAACTGCTTTCAAAAACTGCTTCAAACCGCTTTAAGCTTAAAACTGCTTTTAAAAACTGCTTCAAACTTAAAACTGCTTTCGAAATGGTTTCAAACTTAAAACTGCTTTTAAAACTTCTTCAACCTTAAAATTGCTTTTAAAACTGCTTCAAACTTTAAACCACTTTTAAAACTGCTTCAAACTTAAAATTGCTTTCAAAAACTGCTTCAAACTGCTTTAAACTTAAAACGGCTTTTAAAAACTGCTTCAAACTTAAAACTGTTTCAAACTTCAAGCTTTTAAAACTTAAAACTGCTTTTACAACTGCTTTAAACTTAAAACTGCTTTCAAAAACTGCTTCAGACTTAAAACTACATTAAACTTTAAGCTTTTAAAACTTAAAACTTTTTTTAAAACTGCTTCAAACTTAAAATTGCTTTCAAAAACTGCTTCAAACTGCTTTAAACTTAAAACGGCTTTTAAAAACTGCTTCAAACTTAAAACTGCTTTCGAAATGGTTTCAAACTTAAAACTGCTTTTAAAACTTCTTCAACCTTAAAATTGCTTTTAAAACTGCTTCAAACTTTAAACCACTTTTAAAACTGCTTCAAACTTAAAATTGCTTTCAAAAACTGCTTCAAACTGCTTTAAACTTAAAACTGCTTTTAAAAACTGCTTCAAAATTGCTTTTAAAACTACTTCTAAATTTAAATCACTTTTAAAACTGTTTTCAACTTAAAACTGCTTTCAAAAACTGCTTCAAACTGCTTTTAAAAACTGCTTCAAACTTAAAACTGCTTTCCAAATGGTTTCAAACTTAAAACTGCTTTTAAAACTTCTTCAACCTTAAAATTGCTTTTAAAACTGCTTCAAACTTAAAACTGCTTTCAAAAACGTTTCAAACTTAAAACTGCTTTTAAAACTTCTTCAACCTTAAAATTGCTTTTAAAACTGTTTCAAACTTTAAACTGCTTCAAAACTGCTACATCAAACCACTTTTTGCTGCAGTTTTCTCTTGCACAAGTTTGACGACACATCAGATGCTCTGTGCTCTTTAAAACCACGTAACGCCTTAGTGCTTCAGATCTTAGTATTTATTTATCCTGAATCACATGATCTGTTGTTTTGTCAATGTTATTTCCATAAGTCAATAAGAACCACATTGGTGTTTCCTCATTCAGGGAGTATCGGCCGAAGGAGGAAGTGAAATTTATGGACAACGGAACCAGAGTGGCGGCTGTCAATCCAAAGACGTACGTGTTTGAGCCCAACATGTCACGGGGATCTGAGGATGACATCGTCCGAACGGTCGACATCCCTGTTGTGGTGAGATCGCGATCTCTGACCTACTAAAACCACTGGCAAATGAGATGTTAAATGGGTGAATCTCATGAAAGCATGTCACATTTCACCCTAAAATCGAAATAAGAAATGATGTGTTGCATAAAGAAATGAAGTCTGAGAAGAGATTATTCAAAGTTTATGTGTTTATTTTTGACTTCAGACCGCGATGGAGAAATTCAAAGATACCCTCTTGGTCAGTCGCATTATCTCTGACGTGATGAAAGCAAAGGGCATCGGCTTGTTCAGGACGTTCAGAGTCGGTGACCTGCTGTGGGGTTATGAAGATCCGCTGCTCAAAGAACTCAAACAGTTTGTGTCGGATGACCACTTTGGACTTTTCTACAAGGTTAGCAGCACTGGTGTCAATCATCACTAGTGCTTAATGTGATCAAACCCCTGACACTAAATACTAAAGCTGAGTCATTTTGCAGTGCTTGTGCTTCAGACATGAATGATTCAAATCATGCGTCTTGTTTGTGAATCATCATTGGAGCACAAAACCAGTCTTAAGTGTCAATTTTTCGAAATTGAGATTTATACATTATCTGAAAGCTGAATAAATGAGCTTCCCATTGATGTATGGTTTGTTAGGATCGGACAATATTTGAGATACAACTATTTGAAAATCTGGAATCTGAGGGTGCAAAAAAAATCAAAATATTGAGAAAATCGCCTTTAAAATTGTCCAAATGAAGTTCTTAGCAATGCATATTACTAATCAAACATTAAGTTTTGATATATTTACGGTAGGAAATTTACAAAATATCTTCATGGAACATGATCTTTACTTAATATCCTAATGATTTTTGTCATAAAAGAAAAATTGATAATTTTGACCCATATAATGTATTGTTGGCTATTGCTACAAATATACCCCAGCGACTTAACACTGCTTTTGTGCTCCAGGGTCACATTTGAGGTTTGTGGCATCAGTCACTTTGGCTGATTATTAGGTTCAGCTTCAGAAAACAAATGATCAATGATTATTAAATGATTAAAATGATCAGTAGTGACTGTAAATGCATATCTAATGTTACAAAAGATTTATATTTCAAATAAATGCTGTTCTTTTGAACTTTCTATTCATCTGTGAATCCTGAAAAATAAAATGTATCACAGTTTCCACAAAAATATTGTGCAGCACGACTGTGTTCAACATTGATAATAATCAGAAATGTTTCTTGAGCAGCAAATCAGCATATTAGAATGATTTCTGAAGATCATGTGACACTGAAGACTGGAGTAATGATGCTGAAAATCACAGGAATAAATTACAGTTTAACAGATATTCACTTAGAAAACAGCTATTTTAAATTGCAATAATATTTCACAGTATTACTGGATTTGATCAAATAAATGCAGCCTTGGTGAGCAGAAGAGAGACTTTTCAAAAACATAAATAAATGATCTGCATCAGCTGTTGAAGTTTCAATGCTAGTCGATGGTTCATATGATCAGTTCAACGCACGTCTGTTAATTGTCTTTTTGTACATGTGTTTCATTCTCATGTCAATGACTGTGTTTCAGAAAAATGGCACTGATGACGGTGATTATATTTTCTTCACGGGGAAGCAGAATTATCAGGACTTTGCTCGTATAGACGAGTGGAACGGACAGAGGTAAAATCAGCAGAAAACTCACCGTCTCGTTTTATCTCTAGAAGATTAATGAATGGATTTAGAAGGAGCTGCACAATCAGCATGTGCTCAGAGAAGTTTGAATTATGGATTATTTGTTCTCTTTGTCAGTGCATTGAACTGGTGGAGTACAGAAGAGTGTAACATGATCAACGGCACCGATGGAGCGTCTTTCCATCCGATCATCACAAAAACAGAGAAACTCTATATATTCTCTTCTGATCTGTGCAGGTGAGATCATTTAAATGCACTGTTCTGTGCTGCTAATGGATCTGAATTTCACTTAAAAAAAGGCAAGGATGCATTAAATTGATCAAAAGTGGCAATAAAGACGTTTATAATGTTCTTTTGAACTTTCTTTTCAATCCTGAAAAATAAAATGTATCACAGTTTCCACAAAAATATTGTGCAGCACGACTGTGTTCAACATTGATAATAATCAGAAATGTTTCTTGAGCAGCAAATCAGCATATTAGAATGATTTCTGAAGATCATGTGACACTGAAGACTGGAGTAATGATGCTGAAAATACAGCTGCGCATCACAGAAATACATTACATTTCACCAGATATTCACATAGAAAACAGTTATTTTATATTGTAAAAATATTTAACTGTTTTTACTGTATTTTTGATCAAATAAATGCAGCCTTGATGAGCAAAAAATTATTTTTTTTAAATCTTGCTGAACCTTTTGAACAATACTGTATGTTATGATAATTTGATGAATGTTACTATATGATGTATGTATAATCTTACATTATTAATACATGGTAATATTAACTTTATTATCTTTAAAAAAAAATATTTGATCATATTCACATTCAATTTGCATGAATAAGAATAGACGTATTTTATTATGGTCATTTTTATTTTGTGTTTTCTAAAAGTGATAATAATAGTTCCTGAGTCACTGATTAAAGGTTTAGTTTAGAATTGCTCTTATTGATTCAGTACTGATCATATTGGGTCTGAATTGGGTGCGTTATCAGTATCAGAAAACGCTTATGTGTGACCAAGCGCTTTTCCTAAAAGAGTGTTTTTTGCTTCAGATCACATACTGTATGTGTGATTCGTCATGCTGCTCTCCGTGGATGTTTATTTAGGGTCTAAATCAGGCCTCCAAACAAGCAAAACTATTCAGCAGTTCACTGAAGTGATTGTCAAACTTAAAAACATGTTACATCACAGTAAAAGAAACCATTCTTCAGCCAGAACCATTTGATTAATGGTTAAATCTGAGAAGTACACAAATCTGCTTTTCAGAATCGGATTCATTGCTTGTTTTACTCAAATGTATCAGAAGACAATCAGTCCTAATTAAATCAGTGTGTAATATCAGTGTGTGTTTTATGCATGTTTGTGTTGACAGGTCTACATATGCCCAGTACGAGTCTGACGTGAGCGTACGAGGGGTTCCCGGTTTCCGTTTTGTCCCACCCAGCGAGGTTTTCGCTAATCTTACGATTAACCCAGATAACGCAGGCTTCTGCGTGCCGGCTGGGAACTGTCTCGGCTCCGGCCTCCTCAACGCCAGCGTCTGCAAAGAAGGTCAGTGAGAGTCTGAATGCTGTTTGTCACCGTACAGACGCCGGGACGTCCCGCTAACGTGTGTGTCTCCTCTCAGGTGCGCCCATCATCATGTCCTCCCCTCATTTCTACCAGGCAGACAACAAATTCGTCCAGGATGTGCTCGGGATGAATCCCAACAAGGAGGAGCATGAGACGGTCATTGACGTCAACCCGGTATGTCTGTATAATCACATATAAACCTGCTGGAAAGGTCTTGACCAGTTGACCAGAAACACATTTTATTCTCCTCACTGAAAGCAAAATGCTGCATGAAGCTGTAAAATCACAGCCAGTCAGAATGCATTTGATGGTTATGCTTTTTCATGCACTTGCATGTTTCCAAGTAGAGAATTTCCAACTCACTATTTGGAAAAGTGCAACATAATGGCAATCATGTGACTCTTTATTGTGCAGACACTCTCTCTGCACCCAGAATCACCTGTTTATCTAACATTAGCAGTGATAAAAGAGTAAATGATCCTCTCAGTTGATAAATATACACCTGCGTAACATGCATTTGTGTCATTGTACATAATCTTCAAGCATCAGACAACAGAACTCTGTCGTGTTCAGATGTGAGAGATACAAGCACATCTCATTGGTGATTTTGGATCTACAATCTAAATCGTGTGTCACTCGTTGCGGTTGCAGGTTCAGATGATAACACAGATTAACAAGGAAGTGGAAGTTCATTAGTACATTAGTGATTGACACACTTTCAGTTTCCATCCATCGTCACAGCTACACGATTCAAAACAACCGGTGATGAGAATCCAGTCAAGAAATATCTATGTTGCAAAAGCCAAGGTTTCCCAAACTTTTTTGTTGCACCCCTTTTTCCTATATGTGACCCTGGTCCACAAAACCAGTCAGTCATAAGGCTCAATTTTTATACAGCTGAATAAATTAGCTTTCCATTGATGTATGGTTTGTTAGGATAGGACAATATTTGGCCGAGATACAACTATTTACGTGTAAATAATGAGTATAGCGTGTATATAACGTGTAAATAATGAGTATAGTGTGCATATGAGTATAACGTGTAAATAATGAGTATAGTGTGCATATAATGTGTATAGTGTGTATATAATGTATATAGTGTACGTATAATGAGTATAGTGTGTATATGAGTATAGTGTGCAGATAATGAGTATAGTGTGCATATAATGTGTATAGTGTGTATATAATGTATATAGTGTACGTATAATGAGTATAGTGTGTATATGAGTATAGTGTGCAGATAATGAGTATAGTGTGCATATAATGTGTATAGAGTGTCTATAATGTATATAGTGTATGCATGAGTATAGTGTGCAGATAATGAGTATAGTGTGTATATAATGAGTAGATAATGAGTAGTGTGCCTGTAATGTGTATATGAGTATAGTCTGCATATAGTGTGAATATAATGAGTATAGTGTGTATATGAGTATACTGTGTAAATAATGTATAGTGTGTATTTATCTGCACTGCCATAAGAGGGCGTCAGTGCACTACACTCAGCTTCAGGTCTGCAGTAATATTGATGCAGTTTCATTATAAAACTCAGGTTTCTGGCTGATTGTAATACTACAGATCCAGAGCGAGTGAATGAATGAATAACAGCATCTGTATTTCATTATTTACTGACAGAACAAACACACATTTTACGCTTGTGTCTGAGTCACTCTCTGATAAAGCAGGTGATGTCAGGATGATGTTATCTGATTTCCCAGCTAGTCCAGACGCGTCCCACTTCCCGGCAGGTAGTTAGTAATTCAACCGGTGGCTGTTTTGGTTATTTTGTGTGGTGGATGTTTGTTTAGTTTATAATCAAAGAGTCTCTACAAACCCAAAAGACTGCAGACATTTGATAAAATCAAACATTTTTGCATTCATTCGACCACTAGTTTCTTCCAGGAGCATGTTAAATAACTGCACATGTGTGTTTGATAAGTGCTTTCGCTGCGGGATAGGGATCTACACGGATCAGCAGGATAAAGTTTACTGTGGGTGTGTGTTTTATGGTGTTTGTGTATGGTGTTGGAACAGATTCAGGTGCTCGTTCTACCTTATAAAACTGTGCTACAGTAACGGTATCAGATGGTAATACCACCACGTACCATGGTACTGAATGATATATATTGTTAATGTATTTGATTTCTACTGAAGGATAGAGGTTAGAGTCAGGCTTTTGTTATGTGCATCTGACAGGAATCTCTTCTGTTGCTGGGAAGGTGTGTGGTGCTTTATGCAATGTTTTCTCATGTCGGTTCCCATCATTTTTGTGTTTGAGCTTCAAATGGGTTGCAGATGTTCTGTAGGACACACACACACACCCCTCCGGATTCATTCTTAGATAAGCTAATATGTTTGAGTGTTAACATACTTTTCACATCAGAATCCAACCAGGAAATATCTATTTTGTAAAAGCCAATCTAACACCGTTTTAAAGTTTTGTTTACCTTAAGTTCACATGAAATAAAAACAAACTTTATTTACTTTCTTCGTGCATGCTCCTAGTCTTGTGAATAATTCATCAGCATATGATAATCTAAAGAAAAAATATGTTTGTCTTAGTAGGGATAGGGAACATTTAATAGGGAATTTTTCCATCAGCTGGACCCTTTAAAGCTAAAATATTTTCTTGAAGCCCCCCTGAGATTTTAAGTTAATATTTCGATCATTCACATTTTTCAGTTTTCTAATGTAAGTTAGTAAATGTAAGTTATCTAAATTGTACACTGTTATGATTTTATTCGTTTTTAGTTTGCTTTATTTTAAATTTATGTTTTGTTTTGAGATAATTTGTGATTGTTTTATACTATTGATAGCACTTGTTTTTAACAGTAAGAAAAAACAATTCTGCATATAGTCCAAAACATTCGAAAACCCCCTAATTTAACTTGTAGTATAGTGTGTATATAATGAGTATAGTGTGTGTATAATGAGTATATTGTTCATATATTGTACATATATTGAGTATCGTGTGTATATAATGAGTATTATGTGCATATAATGTGCATAAAATGAGTATAGTGTGCATATAATGAGTATTATGTGCATATAATGTGCATAAAATGAGTATAGTGTGCATATAGTGTTGTATATAATGAGTATAGTGTGCAAATAGTGTGTATATAATGAGTATAGTGTGCATATAGTGTTGTATATAATGAGTATAGTGTGCAAATAGTGTGTATATAATGAGTATAGTGTGCATATAGTGTGTATATAATGAGTATAGTGTGCATATAGTGTGTATATAATGAGTATAGTGTGCATATAGTGTGTATATAATGAGTATAGTGTGCATATAGTGTGTATATAATGAGTATAGTGTGCATATAGTGTGTATATAATGAGTATAGTGTGCATATAGTGTGTATATAATGAGTATAGTGTGCATATAGTGTGTATATAATGAGTATAGTGTGCATATAGTGTGTATATAATGAGTATAGTGTGCATATAGTGTGTATATAATGAGTATAGTGTGCATATAGTGTGTATATAATGAGTATAGTGTGCATATAGTGTGTATATAATGAGTATAGTGTGCATATAGTGTGTATATAATGAGTATAGTGTGCATATAATGAGTATAGTGTGTATATAATGTGCATAAAATGAGTATAGTGTGCATATAATGAGTATTATGTGCATATAATGTGCATAAAATGAGTATAGTGTGCATATAATGAGTATTATGTGCATATAATGTGCATAAAATGAGTATAGTGTGCATATAGTGTTGTATATAATGAGTATAGTGTGCAAATAGTGTGTATATAATGAGTATAGTGTGCATATAATGAGTATAGTGTGTATATAATGAGTATAGTGTG